ATTTCAGCTTCTTACATCAGAATATTTCCTCTTTTTTTCTTCCTCTTTGACGGTAAACTCAGAATCTTTGGATCGTGGTGAAAACAAAACATTCGAGGACACATTCATGGACTTTTATCACCGTTTTTCGGACCAAACAACTCATCAAAAACCAAGAAAACAATCTTTAGTTGCAGCCCTGCTGTGATAATAAATCAATAACTGGGTAATAAAGGTACAATCTGTCGGTATATATTCTTAAATCGTCACACAAAAAGCCTCATCCAGCCAGATTACATCAGGTTAATGGAGTTTAAGTGCGTTGGTGAGCTGCTGAGTGATTGATTTAACGCACGCTGGATAAATTCTTTTGCTTCCAACGGGAGTCATTAAAGTTTCATTTTATCAGCCTTTTAAAATAAAAGCCCTCATATTTAGTCTCAATTGAGCCGAAGCCGTCGAGTTATAAAAGGACATTTATTGAAGTGAACGGCCTCTTTTGTCTGCACCTTCTCGTTTTTTAATATACATTTACATCTGATTAAGTCACCGCAGATCTCTGACTGAGTGCGAGGCCGGTTTTGTCTTCTCATGTGATGGTTGGTGGCGGTTTTCTGTGTGAATAATACCAATAAAACCTAATTGATTACAGTGTATGATGTTGATTGATTGATTAGTTGATTGTCTAGGTTAAAAATAAAAATCTACCATCATCATTTTGAGGTTTTATACACGTTTTTGGTGCCGAATACCTTCAAGTATTTATTATTCCTTTCTCAAAAAGCTTTGTAAAGATTCTAAGGGACCACGTCATCACTGTAGTATTAAATTAGCTTTGTGTGTGTGTGTGTGTGTGTGTGTGTGTGTGTGTGTGTGTGTGTTGTGCTTCCTCAAACCAAACCGGTTTGACTGCAGCTGCCGGTGAATGTTTTTATATCAGGACATGAAGCAGGGATCCAGAAGATTAACTGTGTTTCTGTAGAGTAGCTGCCGTCCTCGTGTATCTTACCCCAGTTTCTGGGCGTCTTGTCATATTTCACCGCAGGGCTCGTTTTTCACCGTAATATAAAGTTCTGCACCTCGAAGGGAACAAGCCGTGAGCAGAAGTAGAGGAAATACTGAAATGTCTTCTGTGTAGAATAACAAAGTTAGAACGCCATAAATCATTTAATTTAAAATAAAAAAAAAGCAGAAGAAGTTGCATTTCATTGATTATTAATTTAGCAAAATAAGAGAAATACTAAGAGAAATGTAATATTCAAAACATTTTTAAAGTGCCCACAGGTGTTAAAAATACAGACTTGACATACTGTAGATATTTTACTTTTTTACATTTTTATTTTATTAAATCTTTGTCTTGTTTCTGCTCCAAGCCTGAGCTTCAACCCAGCACAGCTGCTATATTAGCTGCAGCTATATTATTCACGGCTTTTCAGTTGTAGTGAGGATTTTATTTTTTTATTTTTTACAGAATATTTCACTGCACATTTGTTTTCTACATACAAATCCAGTTCGGAACCAAAAGTCTTAATATGTGCCTTACGCAGATTCTTCTGTTCTCTTTTGTGTTTACTGATATTTTTAGCTTATTATATGTTCAGATTTTTACATTTTTTAGCCTATTATATGTTTAAATTGTATATTTTGTAGCTATTTATGTTTATCTTAATTATTTTTTAGTATGTATATTTTTTACTGTTTTTTTTTTTTTTATGTAAATGAGGGTTCAAGAGAAACACAATTTCACTTCTCTGTATGTGCACACATGTAGTACAATTGACAATAAAGTGACGTTGACTTTGACTGAGAATCTGGTTAGAGGTTTATTTTTGGTGATTAATTAAAAAACGAGGCCTGTAGAATGGAGTAATTTAGACGAAATATCATGGTTTTAGTCTTATATTTTCTTAATTTTTAAAATTAAACTGCATGTTGCACACGATCAGTTAAAGAACCTTCAAAAAGCTGAAACTGTGACAATTTATTTAGTTTTTACAGTTTCTGTCTCTGATAAATGGTCGATTTTTGGTGATTTAAAAAAAAATTCTTAACCCCCTGGCAGGTTTAGAGGTTCAGAGGATTCGCTCAGTTTCATTACAAACAGTTTGTAGACGAGTTTTCTCATAATAAAATTAATTTGATTTTAAATCTTGTAGCAGCATCGTAACAAATTCCACCAAACCACATCGTCCGATTTTTTTCCTTACTGCTGCCTTTCGTCTCCCGATGCTGCAGATACGAAGCGGTTGACTTTGACTCTGTGACATTAGAAACTTTTAATGAATAACTGCCCTTGGGGGGGAAACAATCAGACTTTCATAAGATCACATTATGTATAAGAGATCACTTCCTGCCAGACTGGAATTAATTATCTTTTTGACTTTATTAAATTTAAAAAAAATATAGCTCCCTCCCCCCTTCATGCACATGGACTCGTATATGCAGATAGATAATAATATACTCCACAGGCGCCACTGAAATAAGCAGAATTTAACTGTTTACAGCGTTCCTGGGACGTTTCTGATGCTGGAAAATTAAGATTCTCTTCCTTTAATCTCCTGTACAGAGATCAGGAACATAAAAAGTGCTTGTCATAGGTTTTGTTTCGCATGCAAGCGAGAAAGCAAAGCGTTCAGATGTTCTGATGTTTATCTTTCTTTGCTCTTCTTCCAGGTGGCGAAGGACGTCTCCATCCGTCTCCACAGCCAGCTGGACAGCGTGGAGAAGAAAAGGAGTCACCTGGACCAGGAGAACGAGGAGCTGAGGGTCCGACTGCAGGACCTGGAGGTCGCCAAGCAGGTTCTGCAGCAGGAGATCGACAAGGTAGGATCCCAGTATCCGAACCGTGAAGAACATGTTTGTTTAAGAGTCCATCAGGATGTGCTGGTTGGTGCAGCTCAGTGAAGGTTTTCTTTGTGTCGGTATGTAAATAAGACGGGGTTAAGCTGCACCGTTCCCACAATCCCACACTGTGTTTGGGTAAATCTTCCCTGTTGAAGGAGATTACTGGTGTTTTGACCGGACCAGAACCTTCGGCTAAACACTGAGGTTCCGGCAGATCCTTATTTAGCCCGTCGGCTTTTCTGTTGGCCGTTTAAAGAAAACAACGTTCACCGCGCTCAGTTTGTGTCGAGAGTCTGTTCTCATCTAGACTTCATTCCTGCCACTCTGCTGCCACTCCAGGGACTTTTCTGTTGTACTAAGTGTAGCTGGTAAAACGCCGCAATGAGAAAAGGAAGAATAGAAATGGCCGTCAGGGCCAGCGGAGGTGGAAATAAACGAACCAGAGTTGTGCTGTTTGTTAAAGTATAAACACATCCAGAGTTTCCACCGTGAGAAGCGCTGCTGACTCCTTCGTTGTCTTCGGTCTAGTTTGAGTAAAAAGCAGAAAATGAGACCCCATCTTTTCCGTCCTTTTCTCTCTCTGTCTTTCTTTCTTTCTCCTCCTCATTGGTGTGATGGTCGCGGCCTTGGCCCAGGACCAGGCTGCTGATGTGGGTCAGGGTTGGACGGATGGTTGGGTCGCTGGCAGGGGATGTAGGTCTGTCTGCTCGGGTCTGACTGGACTCTGTGTTCCCTGAATGCCGGTGAGCTGTTTGTAGACGGCTGGAAAATCATCACTCTGTCTTTTGGCTTTTGTCTTTGACTAATGAATGTAAAATCTTGATTATAGTCCCTTGCAGACATTGTTGTTATTAGTCGCTATTATACTTTTCTAGTCCACTTGGAGGACTTCACTCCATACAACAAAGTCACACCTACCTATTATGTGCCAAACATGCATTAATACTCAATTACAAATGCAGAAAGCATTATTATTATTATTATTAGCATATTTCAAACTTAACTGCGGTCTTGCTGTTTAATACTGTTTATGGGCGTTTAGCTAGCAAAGGAGCACCATGACTTGTATAGTCGTACTGATCTCAGGCCAGCAAATAAGTTTGAAATAAAGGTTAAATTAAAGAGAACAGTCATGTTACCCCTCAGTAGACCCTCTGATGACGTAATTTAGATGTTGTTTTTTGGGTTAAATCTAGTTGGTTCCATCATAGCCTAGATTTATCCCAAATGTAGTTGTTGAAATTGGGTTGCGTTTGGACCGTCCAATTGTGTCCCATAGCTAGCTAGCTATTTCTATCTAGGCAAGTCAGGTAACAGAAACCGGAATGAATGTTTGTGAATGAAAAATTGACAATATGAAGAGTTTTAGGTCAAACCTTTTTAGCGGGAGGGACTACAGTACCCATAATGCAACGCAAGTTGATTAAGAGATGTCTTAATAGAGACGTCTTTTCAACTGCCTGAAAAAAGTCGGCTTTTCACTTGTCACTTTTCAACCAAAATTGAGTTTAGACGTATGGCAAAGACGTCTTTTCAACCTTTTTGTTGCTGGGTGGGTTTGGCAACACTTTTTTTTAATGTACCTGTGTGAGAGCGGATAATAAGTTGGACATCGGTTTTCAGAGGATTTTAAATACTTTAAAAGTCTCACGATTGGCAACGGTTAAGTTAGGAACATGCCTAGTCTGCTGGTAGGACTTAGTTCATGATGTGTCCGGTAGGTTGTATCGGCCTGTTCGATGCATACATGCTACTGCTGACAACCTTACTGGTCAAAATGTAGTTGAGTAGTTTGTTAGCTGTTAAGTTTTGCACAGACCTGCAAAAGAGGAAATGTTTTGCGTGCTTTTTGCATTGTAAATTCTCATTTTAATGTTGTTTTTCTCCACACTGTAAAACCGGCCAAGTAAATCTGCTCCAGTTATTTTCCGTCTTGCATATCTGCGTGTTGACTGATGGGATGACTGGTGCACGGAGGGCTTCTGTGGCTGTTTGCTCGCTGACGGGCTAACGTGGTTTCATAAGCTGTGTTTGTTGTGCCGAGTTATGCGAACCCTTCGCTGAAAGGAGTTCTTCACATAGCTGATGTGATTCAGAGAGCCGCGCTCATCCACGCAGGAATGTCTCGCTTTTGATTAGACAGTGCAAACACGGCGCTTCAAGTACGTCCCAGACGGTGAAAAACTGAAGGACAGATAAGAAGAACGGACTCCTATAGAGAGCGACAAAGAGACGTACACGGATATAATAGAAAAGTGAGTGTATTAAAGCTAAACAGACTGGACAGAGGGATGTTTAACCACACAGACAGGGCTACCCGCAGACAATGAAGGCTTTGATAATTCACAGGTGAAGAGGAGGTTTGTGAATTATTGATTGCTGGGCGGCTGCAGCCTACAGTCTGCACTGATATTGATATTCTTTAAAAAGCCGACTTATGCGATGCACTGGCTGGACCTCAGTATTGTACTGAGAGCTGGAGAGCGATTCAACCGACAGTCTTAATGCTGCAGAAACAGAAGGAGAAACAGTTCAAATTATCCAAATTTTAAAAACCGATCATAACCAATTATATTTTGTCTACAAGTCTCACCCTGTATGCACATATATTTATGAGAAAAGAATGTTTCACCTCTTTCACATGATCGCTAAATGCTAACATTATGCATGTGATTCATAATCACACTAAAATGTTTTCAGCTGTTGTTTTTTTTCAAATGCCACTATTATGTAATCACACCATCCCCTCACTTTAGCTGTATTTAGCCACATTTTCTTAGAAGCTAATTCAAGCTGTAGCTGCTCTCCTGTGTCACTACTGACTGTCTTCTGTGTAAAACATTCTGAAAGCCTCAGATATTGATGTTAACAATGCTAATATGATAGCGTCCTCCATTTTGGATTCCTAATAATCACACTAAAATGTGGGTTATTTAGATCTTTTTAGCTCTTTATTGTTTGACTAATACCAACATATAAATAAAACAATAAAATAATAAAAATGTTGTGAACTCACCCTACGGCAGGGTTGCTTAGCCTACAGTAGTGAGGAATTTAAGCTAGCTAGGTCTAGTGAAAGCTAGTACAGCATAATATTGCTAGCTTAACATAAAGTCAGCTAATGATATTATGCTGTACTAGCCTACAGTAGCGAGGAATTTAAGCTAGCTAGCTCTAGTGCAGGCTAGTACAGCACAATATTATTAGCTTAATATAAAGTCGGCCAATGATATTATGCTGTACTAGCCTACAGTAGCGAGGAATTTAAGCTAGCTAGCTCTAGTGCAGGCTAGTACAGCATAATATTATTAGCTTAACAAAAAGTCAGCTAATGACTGTCATGTAAATAGTAAAGAAAATAGTTGTTTTCGCTTAAGAAGCATTAAAATGTATTTTGCTCTGTCAAAATAAGATTAAAATACCTCAAAACCATTTCTTTAATTTTCTCAGACCAGAAAAAAATATTTTAATTTCATTTAAGCAGTCGAGGGAAAGACCTGAAATGTAAAAAGAATGTATTTATTGATCAGGAGGGGGACTGAGGTGTATATTCTGCTCTATTATCTTTGCACATTGTCTGCTAAGGTAGCTTTATATTGAGCACCAACACACATGCGTCTCCATAATTGTGGACAATCAGCGCAATTAAGTCTAACAAGGAGAAAGGAGATGTTTTGTCCCCTCGTAATTTCCTGTCCTTATTCTCCTTTTCTCCCATCCCTCCCTCACAGCTCACCCTCCCCTTCCTCCATCACTCCCTTTTATTATCACCTTCCATTCTTCCTCCCTCCTCTCCTGCTGCTCCCATAGAGACGCTGAGGAATGCTGATGCGGGGATTTCTTTTTCAAAATCCCCCTTCTGTCCGTCTCCATCCTCCATCCCCTCCTCCTCCTCCTCCTCCTCCTCCTTCATACCAAACCCGTCACTCCCTCATACTTTTTTTGTCTCCCTCCTCTCCTCTCTCTTCCCCTCTGCTGCTGTCTCTCCATCCCTCTCCAAAGCCATCGATCCACTCCAGCTGTTTGACCTTTGAGGGAGGCAAGGTCGGATTTGATGAAAAGGGGGGAATGGGTTAGAGTTACAGATGGAGGGAAGGAGGGAGAGAAAGAGGCTCGCTGGTGGTTTATGAGAAGCGGAGGGGAGGATGGATAGGATGGTGTCTGTTCCAGGTGTTTGTCAGCTGAAGGGGGAAGATGCTCGACTGTACTGAAGGATTGATTGAAGGGATGGAGGGCAGAATAATTCCGGTCAAGGAGTCGAGGCTCATGAACGTCAGCAGTCTGTCAGGAAACAACAGAAACATTTGCTAACAAACAAAGCCGATGCGCACCAGGCGTCTTTGTTTACGTCTTCTTCCAACGCTCGAGCGCGTGAGCTGGCTTCTGGTCTGTCTTTGTTTCACTTCAGCTCTTGTTCCCACTTAAAGCCATTTCCCTTTTGTTGGAGAGCAAGTGTGTCACAGAGTTTAAGTCTGTTTCCCTTCGTGAAGAGGAAAGAGGAGAATAATAAAGGTCTGCTGACACTGGTGCTCATGAGGTGATCATTAGCAGATAAAATGACTGACTTTGACCTTGTATGAAGGAATAGATGGATGGGTAGATCGACGTCTTCAGCCTTGATGATGCTCCCTATAGGGACAGCTGCAGACACAAGTGACGGATGGATGCTTAGACCTGGGTAATAAAATAACAGAGAGATATGGTTCATCAATAAGAAAATAGAAAAATGTTTGATAGTTTCACTTATATGCATCAGACACAAAGACGCAAAGTCCGTAAGGCCAACTAAGTATGTCCTTCGATAGACCCCATTCGAGGTCTTAGGTCTCCCGAGGTGTCCACCCCTGTCCATGCCCATACAGCTCCTGCAGTGGAGGCTGCAGCTGATGGTTGCCGTTGCAAAATCGTCTTTGCAGTTTGAGAACACCCACAATTCCTTGTCACCCGATACCGATCTGATGCATGATGTTGGAGTGCTT